TCTGCACATGTAACCCAGGGCAGTATCTGTTCATCAGTTCATCAAAAACAACGAAGGACTAGACAGAGCTGACACATCCACCCATGGAGTACAAGTCAGCCTCAGAGTAAGGAAGCCTGCCTAGCACATGCACATAACTGGGACAGGGAGACTGGCAGAAGTCTAAGGCCAGCAAGAGCCATACAGCAAGACCCTGTCTCTAAATTCACGGCGGTGGCTTACAGAGAGGCAGCACAGCACCATGCAGCTAGTTCTGCTTGGGAGTAAGCCCCAAGATCAAAGGCACTGGCAAGCATTTTGTATATATAGACAGGTTACATGAAGGCTCCTCCTCTAAGACTCAAGGCCCAGGGGGCAAATACAGGACTTCTGTTAGGAAAGCAGTAATTCAGAGGAAGGGGCTACAGACTCAAAATGAGGCAGCCACTAGATACTGGTATGGCCGAGAAGCTCCAGAATTCTAAGGTGGCAAGTGTATGCTGTCCAAGTCTTTAAAGTTTCCATCTGTCACAACAGCAAGAGGGAACAAACCAGTACAGGTGACACCCACAATGCAGGAGCTGGTGCAGGAGCAACCAGAGTCACAACAGTTGCCTCTGAAGAGCTCCCAGCACCTGGCCACGTGGCAGTGCCCTTTCCCCAGCGGAGCTGGCCTTGGCCGTCCTGCTTTGTTTGCCAGGACACCCACCTCCAACCCCTGCCCCCTGGCCTTAGTGACCCAGTTTAACTTGCTCCCTAGCACTGTGCGGGGGATTATGGTATCAAGTTCCCTGCCTTCACACAGGCAGGGGAGGGGGTGAAGTGCTGGGGGCCGGGGGAAGGATTCTGGGAAAGAACGAAGTCCAGACCTTGTTTGTCCCCTAGGAAATGGTCACGTACAGACATCCATCTGCTAGGCTGGTCAGAGTGTACACATACTGTGGGACAGGAAGGGAAGCTACACCAGACCCCGAGCTCCCAAAGACTTCCCTGGGCTACACCCTTTGTCTACACACCCAAGCATTGCAGTGTGTTGAAGACTTGTCTCCTCCTTGTACCAGGTGGGCCCTTAGTTAGGAAAATGAGCCAGATATGATGCTCACCTTACTCTGCAGACAAAAACCAAGATGCAAGCAGGGGACCAACCCTTGGCCACAAACAGGCCCCATAGAGCCCAAGCCTTTTCTATCACATAGGGCTGTTCCCTCAATTGGGAGCCAGGGCTTGCTGCAATAATATACGTGAAGAGGGAGGCAGCTAAACAAGAACAAAGATACACAGGAAGTATCACATGAACCCTCTCTCTTTGTGTCCTAACAAAACAAAACAAAAACAAACAAAACCCAAAAAAACAGATCTGGCAAAGTTTGTCTCTGCTAAGACAGGCAGGTATGGACAGCATCTAGCAACTGAAGCAAAGAACAAACCTAGATAACGGTCTGGGTTTGAGGACTCATGGCACCCTGGCATGGTGGAGAATTCTGCCCTACGAAGGAGCCATGCACAATTCTCTTTCCTTTCCAGACCCCAGTCCCGTCTTCCATAAACAAGCTGCGAGCCAGTGGGATGCCAGGACCCTTCTTAGCACAGAGCCCCAGATTCTCGGGCGCCGCCCAGGGGTGTCCCTGCAAGTCCCCCTCCCCGCTGCTGCCCTGGGACCTCCTCTACCCAGGGCTTTGTTACCCAGGAGCTGTTGCCAGGTGCTGTGGCCCCCAGAGAAATCCCTCACCCCTTTTCCTACCCACTAAGAGTCAGGGCTGATGCAACTGCCTGTAACCAGCCGCCTCACTCCTCAACTCAGGCCCCTCCGCACTAGGAAAGAGTTCCAAGCAGCTCCACCCTTGGTCCTGGCTCCCCATAGGACTTTCTTTGTTGTTGTTGGTTTTTTTTTTTTTTCTTTTTGTTTTTTGAGAGGAGAGAGGTGAGGCTGCCATTTAAGTCTGGGAAAGGGTCAGGGACAGAGAGAATAACACACATGATGGACACAAGACCACACAGACCCACGTGTGCTGGACAAGGCTCAGGGCACAAAGAAGTAAGGTGGCAGACCTCCGTGGATGAGGGACGGCCTCACGCCTGCTGACGCCTGCTGAGAAGGGCATGGCAGCTAACCCTGGAAAGCAGCACCCATTCAGCAAGGCTGGGTCAAGGTTGGGGGAAGGGGTGGGCTGCAGCTGGGTGGGATCTAGGGACAAAAAAGGTGAGCAGACCCATGGCTGCAACAGATGCACCATGGGGAAAACCATGAGCCTGGCACTCCACTCTGGGCTGTCTTTGCAACCTTTCTGATTATTCCAAAAGTTTACTTTAAAATAGCAAACTCACCACATGGTGCTGGTACACCTTTAATCCCAGCACTCAGGAGGCAGAGGCAGCAGGCAGATCTGTTTGAGGCCAGCCTGGTCTACAGACTAAGTTCTAGGACAGCCAGGGCTACACAGAGAAACCATGTTCCCAAACAAACAAACAAATTAATAAGTAAGGAGCTGGAGAGACGGTTCAGCAGTTAAGAGCATGGGCTGCTGTTCCAGAGGACCCACATTCAATTTCTAGCACCCACATGGTGGCTCACAAGTGTCTGTACCTCCAGTTCAAGAGTACCTGATACTAAGATGAATCTAAATACATTACTAAAAAATAAATAGCGGGGAGGTGGTGGTGTACACCTTTGATCCCAGCACTGGGGAGGCAGAGGCAGGCGGATCTCTGTGAGTCCGAGACCAGCCTGGTCTACAAGAGCGAGTTCCAGGACAGCCTCTAAAGCCATAGAGAAACCCTGCCCCGAAAAAACAAACAAACAAAAGCCAATTTGAGGGAAGGAGCACCATGGGCACCGCACCACAGTATACTGTCTCAAAAATAAAACAGCTATGGACAAGGGACCAGGGATGCAGTTTAGATGGTAGAATGCTTGTCTAGCATGTACTAGGCCCTTGGGTCAATCCCAGAATTACCTACAAAGGATATGGTGGTACATACACATCTGTCATCTCAGCACTTGTGAGGGAAAGGCAAGAAGACTTATTAGTCCATCCTCAGTTACCCAGCCAAGTTCAAGGCAAGCCTGGGATGAAGACCCTCAAAGCAAACATATCCCCTCTACGGGGTAGATGTAACTTCAGTAGCAGAGGGCCAAATTCAATCCCTAATACATACCGCAAGAAAAGCAGGAGACCAGTGGAAGAGCACTTATGCGCTGAGGCACACCAGTGGGGGCAGGACACACCCACTTCTGTACCAGCAGCAGCCTTTATGTAGCACCTACTATAAAAGCGATAGCTTAAGCACACCCCACAGACCAGAAATCATTTGGCTAAAGAACCTGTGCTCAAACACTGGCAGAAGACAGGAGAGCACCCACTCCAAGGGAATGTGGTCAGCTCCCAAGGACTTCCTCCTAGTAACTTTCAAAATCAGTTTGCCCCACCTGCTTTGAATATGCTCCTTCTTTCCCTTTTACAACAGTAGGGCTGGAACCCAGGACCTCAAAAGCAGGACACGGACCGGCAACCCAACCCATTACTTACTTATTTAAACATCAGGGTCTTGCCAAGTTCCCTAGACAGACTAAAAAGTCTAGGCAAGCCTTGAACTCTTACATTCTCATTCAGTTACAAACATGTCACCACTCAAGTGTGGTGGAGGTCAGAGGACAACTTTCCAGAGTTGCTTCTCCTGGGGTGGAACTCAGATCGTCAAGTCTAGAGACTTGGGCCCTGACCTTGACTTCCAATACTCCTGCAGGCCTGGCTTTTGAACCTTTTCTTAAAAACATATTGAGGCCAGCCAGGATAACCTTGACTTCACGGTCCCTTCTGTTTCTACCTCCCAAATACTGGCATTATAGGTAAGCACCAACACGTTTCCGTCGTACTGGGACAAAGCCAAAGGTTCTTGAGTGAAATAGGCAAGCATTCTACTCAGCTCCACCTCCAGCTCTTAATGTGGATCTTGGTTCTGTCTGTCAGGCTGACTTCCAGACAGAATGTCCAGACATGGCTGGCCACAGGTGGGACACAAGATTCATGAATCAGCCTGGGGAAGGACAATATAAACGTCCAATTTTAGACAAGACCAGGAGAAAATTATCTAGTGGGAGTCAGCAAGAGAACAGGGCTGAAAGGAAGTCAGGGAAGGGCAAAGCAATGAACCGACTGATAAGAGCGCCAAGAGGAGGTTGCAGGGGCCGAGCAGCACCCTGTAGAATGAAGACGACTGCAGATGGCTAGAAACCTTGGAAGGTGGGCCACACAGTGCGATGGCTAAGGGTCTGGGCCGAGAGGCTGAAAGAGGGGGAAATGAGCCCCCAGGGTCTTAAGTAAAACAAAACCCACTGAACAGAAGTAGGGGAAATGCCTCGGTGGCAAAATGCTGTCAAACACGATGACCCGAGTCCCATCTCTGGGAGCCACATGGCAGGGAAAAAAAAGATTCCTCCAAGCTGTCCTCTGACGGCCGCACGCACACACATGCCTGCGATTAGGACTTCGTGGCCTCCCTTCGGCAGCTGCTCTGTCTGTGCGTTTATAAAGCGACTTACAAACAGTGTGGGGCCAGTTTCTTGCTGTTGCTGCTGTGAACTCGCTATGAAGCCTAAGCTAGCTTGAAATCGCCAAGCCACGAGGGCTCACACGTCGGTTTGGGGACCGGGGGCAAATTCGTGAAGCAGGGAGAGAGAGAGAGAGAGAGAGAGAACGAGGGATGAGCTGGCCGTGGTGGGGGAGGCGGGGTAGGAACCGAGGGGGTGTGGGGCTGGGGGTCCGGGCGACACGGCGGGCCCGGGGTCGCCACCGCCCCGCCGGGGCCACGCGGGGGCGGGGCGGGGCGCGGAGGGATCCAGGAGGCCCGCGCTGCGCCGCCCCCGGTATAATTGTCGCCAGGCCCCGGGGCCGCCTCATTCTCCACCTCGCAGCGCCATCCCTGCCACCGCTCGCTCCGCCGCGCCGCCTCCGCCCGCTCAGCCCCCGCCATGGCTCTGTAGCCGCGACCCCGTCGTGCCCCGGCCCGGTCTCCGCGCTCACCGCGCCTGCACTCTCCGCTCCCACCGTCTGCTCAACCGAGGCCGCCGCCGCCGTCGCCTCCTCGCCTTCCCGCAGCCATGGAGTGAGTAACCGCTCGCCCCTCCCTCTCCAACCGCCTTTCCCGCCCTTTCCCAGAGCTCGCGGGGCTTCGCGGGCCAGCCTCGTGGGGGTGGGGAGGCCAAGGGGCAGGAACCGCGGCCGCGCAGGCGCAGAAGGGGGGGACAACGGTGGCCGGCAGGCCCGCGGAGCATGCGCGCGTGGCTCGAGCCGGGAGGAGGGTGTGCTTCCGGTGCGTGGGGGGGGGGTTAAGGACGGCTCTGGCGCCTGTGCTCCTGCGCGCTGCTTCCCACTGAGGGTGCGCACGCGCCTTAGCCTACCCGAGGCCTGAGCTACGAAGGGCAGCCGGTAATTGGCCAAGCATGCGCACTAGCGGCGTTGCAATGGCCCGCTTTCGGGGTGTGAGCTTGCGCGTTGATGCTTGGCTAAGTCGCAGAGAGGAGGGGCGGGGTTTACACAGGCCAGGCCCAGCTCCCCTCCAATCAGGCACCCGCTGGGGCGGGCGCTGGCTTAGATTGACAGGGAAGGCAAGGTTTAGGAACGCACCCAAGGAGGTGGAGCTAGGCCACAGGGGCGGGGCCCGAGGGAGACAGGCGAGTGGGCGGGGCTTGTAGTCGCTGTAGAAGTCACCTAAAGTTGTAAGCGAGGAGCGGGTTCGAGTGTGAGACTGATGGAGGGCTCAGGCGTGGCAGAATCCCTCTGGGAACCCCCGTGGGGTCGGTGCGCTCTAAGGGAAGTGTTGGCGCGGAAGGGGCGTGGCCAGAAGGAAATTCCCTTGGGATTCCAATGTTTATGAAGAGGAATAAGATGAGGTGGGTGGGAGGGGCTGGGGTACTGCCCCTGGGCAGACGCCGGGCTTCTGTGCTGAGGGAGGGATTGGGGCTTGAGAGTTTTCCAGAATTCCCTTGGGAGTGTGTGGAGCTCTGGAATTGGGGCCAAGAAGTGTAGTGAGTGTGAGGGCCTGGGGGCCGAGCGGCTTTTGACCCACCCCCTCCCGCTCTCGCCCCTCCGCGTCCTTCTCAGGTCCTCCGTCTTCGTCTTGGTGCCCGCCTTCACCCAGCTGAACAATCTCGCAAGCTGCCTCCCAGCTGCTGGTGCAGCCTCCATCGCCATCGGTGCCCCGCGCCTGTGTCTCGGCCATGTCACTCCTGGCGACCCTGGGGCTGGAACTGGACAGGGCCCTGCTCCCAGCTAGCGGGCTGGGCTGGCTCGTAGACTATGGGAAACTCCCCCTGGCCCCTGCCCCCCTGGGCCCCTATGAGGTCCTTGGGGGAGCCCTGGAGGGCGGGCTTCCAGGGGGAGGAGAGCCCCTGGCAGGTAAGAACAGGTAGAGAGCAGAGGAGGGTTGAGGCAGGGAGGGAGGGAAAATAAAACAAGGAAGAACGCGTTCATCCACAAGATGAGCCCTGAGGGGCCGCAGCACTGACGAGGTGTTCAGGGTTCAGAGCAGGCGGTCCCTACGCCCATGGGACATCAGGAGACAGAAGTGGAAAAGAGCTGCTGGGCTCACAGTGGCGAAAGACGTAGTTGAGAAGTTCACATGCCCTCCAAGTAGACAGCACCTGAGCTGAGGGCTGAGAAGAAAGGCCTGATGTGGTTCCACCGGAGAGGCCCGGGGCAGGCGTCCATCCTGACTGTAACAGATGCTCGGCCCAGACTGGCATTGCAGTAGTAATTAGCAGCCGCCCCTAGTGGCTCATACATATCGTTCCCCCTTTCAAAAGGCTTCTCGTCTTTTTGAACCCGTGAGTTTCAGGCCAATCTGGGCTTCTCAAAAACAGAAAACAAGAATGAATACAGATGGAATGTGAGGGAAAGAGCAAGAAAAATAAACGAGCAAATGAGGAAAGGAAGGTATAGAGGTACAGTCAAGCAGCCCTACAGGAAAGACAGTGTTTACAGGAGTAGCAGCTGATGTGCTGAGTGGGTTTACTTGGTTGACTGCTTCACTGAGGGAGCGGCCTGTTATTTCATTGCTTGGTTGGTAAATTGCTTGGTTGGCCCACTCGACTGACTGATTGGTTAGTAAGTTGGCTGGTTTATGAAGTTCTCTGTGCGTGACTGCCTGATTGGTTGCTTGCCTCATTCACTTAGTGCATCAGTTTTCTGGTTGTTTGATGAAGTGTGGTTGGCTGACAGTTGGTTTGTTCACTGATTAATGAATTGGTTGGCTGGTTTGTTGTACGACTGACTGCTTCATTCATTGGGTAGTAGATAGGTTGCTTGGCTGGTCGATTCTATGGCTCACGCATTAATTCATTGTGAGTGGCTTGGTGGGTACACTAGTTGGTCTGTTGACTGCCTGCCTAGTTAGTGGGTGGGTGGGTGGGCAGGTTGCCTGGTTCGGCGGTTTCTTCCCTGACTTACTGGTCTGCTGATGGGTCTATAAATTCAAGGGCTGGCTGGTCACTTGTAGCATTGAGTGAGTGGGACATGAGTGAATACCAAATGGGTAAAGAGCGGACCTCAGCAGCCTTTATGTCCCCCTCCATCCTCAGGCGATGGCTTCTCTGATTGGATGACAGAGCGAGTTGACTTCACGGCCCTCCTCCCTCTGGAGACCCCTCTGCCACCAGGCACCCTCCCCCCACCCTCTCCAGCGCCCCCTGACCTGGAAGCCATGGCTTCCCTGCTCAAGAAGGAGCTAGAACAGATGGAAGACTTCTTCCTTGATGCCCCGCTAGTCACACCACCCTCACCACCGCCAGCAGCGCCCCCCCTGCCCCTGCCCCTGCCCCTGCCCACCTTTGACCTCCCTCAGCCCCCTGCCCTGGATACCTTGGACCTGCTGGCTGTCTACTGCCGCAGTGAGGCTGGGCCAGGGGATACAGGCTTGGCAAGCCTGCCCGTGCCCCAGCAGCCGCCTCCTCCCCTGGCCCCTCTGCCTTCACCCTCCCGCCCAGCCCCCTACCCGAGCCCCGCCACCACCCGAGGGGACCGCAAGCAGAAGAAGAGAGATCAGAACAAGTCGGCGGCTCTCAGGTACCGCCAGAGGAAGCGGGCAGAGGGCGAGGCCCTGGAGGGCGAGTGCCAGGGGCTAGAGGCACGGAACCGGGAGCTGAGGGAGAGGGCTGAGTCGGTGGAGCGGGAGATCCAGTACGTGAAGGACCTGCTAATCGAGGTGTACAAGGCCCGCAGCCAGAGGACCCGCAGCACCTAGGGTGCAGGCCCAGGCTGGAAGAGGGCGGTCTGTGGTCGGTGCCCGCAACTCCTCCTACCTCCCTTCCCCGTTCCCATCACCCATGCTTGCATCTCCCTACATACCCCCTTATGGGTTATTCGGGTTAGTCAGTTTCTCTACCCTTCAGTGCAACCAAGGCCCTCAGGGAATTTGAGGGTCCAGCCTGACCCCAGGTTTCTGGAATCTAAAACAAGCGTGGTTTTGCAGGTAGTCCTAGTCGGGTGTGGGGGGTAAGGCAGGACGCCACTCAGGGTGACCCTGATGAGAACCTAGTCAGGGAGGGGGGCTTTAAGGAGGGAACAAGGGACACACACGTCAGAGGTCAAAGGAAGGTGCTGGCCAAGGGAGAGGGGGGGTGGCTGTAGTCGATAGCTAGGGGGTCGTTTTAGCTTTGGGAGAGAATCAGTGTTTTGTGAAGGTGTTGGGGAAGGTTGCATCTAGTGGAGGCTGATCCTCCGGGGGTTATGGGCACAAATAAATTGCAGAATTTCCTGTGGCCTGTGTGTCATATCTTGGAGAGGGGACACTGGGGAGAGGGCGTCTCAGAGCAGTCACAAGGACAACTGAGAATTAACAGAGGGCTGGACCGAAGCCCCGCAATGTGGCTGCAGTCCCAACATTTGGAAGGCTGAGGCAGGATTGCTCTAAGTTTGAGGCCAGCCTGGGCCACAGAATGAACCCATCTCTAACAAAACACTGCTTCCCCCGGAGACCTGAGTTCAGTCCCCAGCAGCCACCTGGGTGTTTGATGGCCTTGCCCCAAGCAGGGTTGGGAGGTAAAGACTGCTGTCAGTGAAGTCACAGCCTTAGGAGATGGAGAGAAGATTTAGCAGGAATGTCCTAATGGGAATGCCCCGAGGAAGCCCACCGGGGTCAGACACATGGCTCTGTGAGCCCAAGAAACAGGTTGCAGAGACGGCTCCCCAAAGCAAGGTCTGACCATGGTTCAGGTTTGCACCTGCAAAGTCCAGTCTGCCTGAGGGATCTAGTTCCCACGGAAACTGGCCAGCTAAGAGGTACATTTGGGTTAGTGTGGTTTATAGTGGCCATGTTAAACCACATAGCCTCAGTTTGACCTTTCTAGGAGTTGCAGGCTGGGTCACCACAGGAGCACTTGATCTGTGCAGCAGACAGACGGGGCTATGGATCACCGATGACCGTGGTCCCTGTGTGGGGTCAGGATCCCTGCCACTGGAGCTCCTCCTACCAGGTTGCCTACACCCTGACCACGCACCCTGCCCCGGTTCTGCTCTGAGGCAGAACCCCCCACCATGTCCTGGGGAAACCCTGTGTGGCTGGTTTCCCAGAGTCTGGGCTCAGTCGGAAGCAGATGACTCATTTACGGGACGTTCAGTTCTGTGTGTGCAAGGAAGAGGGAGGATTAGAGCGAGCGTGAGGGACAAAGAGAGGCCAGTGTGGGGCAAAGCGGGGATAATCCTGGTACCAGGGTCAGTTAGGAATGTGTCCATGTGCTCCTAAAACAAAAGTCAGCTTACCAGGCGTGGGTGTTCGCTCATGCCGGCCTGCCACCCCAAGGACGATTTTAGCCATTTCCAGCTACAAGGTGGATTCCTCCCTACAGACTGAACCGACTTGGCTGAGCAAAGGACCCTTTTATTGTTAACAATTCACACCTTTAGCAAGTCAAGTTGTATACCAAAGTCTTTGATCCTCATCCCCTCTGTTCCCCCCAAGAACAATGCCAAGTGCAAATTCTCAGTTCTGAATACCAAAGTGTTCTGGGTTTTTCTAAAACTTAAGTTCGTATAGGCTTTGATACCTAGGGAAACTCTCAGATGAGACTTCAAATAGTAGGTACACTCACAAAAAAGCAGATCAAGAGCTAGATGCTAAAACATGCCAGGTCAAATCGGCATAGCTCTGTGGGGTTTCTCCCATTAGAACCCTCTTAGGAGGGCTGTGGATGTGGCTTGGGTAAGAAAGTGCTTGCCAAGCTGGCACAAGACTCTGGATTCTAACCCTAAGCCTGCACGTACCAGGCCTAGTGAGTGGCACCTGTAATCTCAAAAAAAAAAAAAAAAAAAAAAAAAAAAAAAAAGACCAGAAGATTCCATGTCATGACAAGTCTGACTCTCCACAGTGGGTGACCTGTGTGGCTGACAGGTGGTGGGCTCCTTACCCTGCAGAAATGCCCTGGAGAAGAGGGTGCAGCTGTCTCCCTAAAAAAGAACAAAAGACTGACGCCCCTGCCCCCACAACCCCCATACCCTCAAAAGGGCAAAGCGCCAGCAGAAGCTGGTGTGGTAGAGGGCCAACTCTCAAAGGGACATTAGAATCTTCCTGCTGGTTGGGACCCAAGGTGGGCACCGGACCGGAGTGGCTCTAACCCTCTGGTCTGAGGCTGTGTCAGCCTGCCTTGCCTTGTGTGGTCCTCTCGCAGAGCTGTGTAGGATTCTGGAATGACACTCACCGGAGGCAGGCAGAGAGGAGCCAAAGCATTCACTGCTGGCTGACCTCATGTTATTAGGGCGTCCCTGCAGAGTAGCGGTTTGTGATGTTCCTTATACCCCACAACGTGCCAGGCAGTGGTGGCGCATGCCTTCAATAACAGCATTTGGGAGGCAGAGGCAGGCGGATCTCTGTGAGTTGGAGACCAGTTTGGTCTACAGGAACTAGTTCCAGGACAGGCTCCAAAGCTACACCGAGAAACCCTGTCTTGAAAAACAAGAAACCCTCTGTCCATGGGATGGTATGGGGTTACAGGCCCCCAGCATGGGGTGTGAATGTCAGGCAGCTGCAAAAGCTCTGGAGGACAGAGGGGTAGGCCAAGACCCAGAGGGGACTCTGAGAAGCTCTGAGACATACACTGCCACTTGGACCTGCTCAGGCACCGCAGAGCCCCTCCCAGGGCCTTCTGCATTCTTGGGACAGAATGCTGGTAATTGTACTGCATTGCTCTCGGGAGTCAGTACTGTCTGCTGTCCCTTTCCGGGTGTCTGAGATGTCTGGGGAGCAGCTGTTAGCATGGAGGTCCCTGAGAAGATGAGAATGGAGTTTAGTCTTTTGAATTTCCTTGTCTGGCTTTTCTTCTAGCCACAAACACCATGACTGTAGTAGGATTTTTCTATACCTCCTGCCAGCTCCCCAATCATGACACAGACTTATTAAAAGCTCAGCTGATAGCTTAGGATTGTTTCTAACTAGCTCTTATAACTTAATTTAACCCATTCCTATTAATTGACTATCAGCCTTGTGGCTTGATTACCTTTATCTGTACTGCCTATGCTTTCCTGCTTACACTGACTCTGGCTGGCAATTCCCAGCATCCTCTCTGTCCTGAAAAATCCTGCCTAGCTATTATTGTTGTTATTAAGCTAATTTGACAAAGCTTCACAGTGTACAAAAATGTTATTCCACAACACATGACCACAAGAAAGTTGGAGAGGGGAGGGTTTCTTTGGCTCACACTTCCACATCATAGTCCATCACTAAAGGAGGCCAGGACAGGATCCTGGAGGCAGGAGCTGATGCAGAGGTCATGGAGGATGCTGCTTACTGGCTTGCTCACCATGGCTTGCTCAGTCTGCTTTCTTATAGAGCCAAGGACCAAGGGAGGGATAGCACCACCCACAATGGCTGGGTCCTTCCCCATTAATCAGTAATTTTAAAAAAATACCCTACAGGCATTATCTCAATTCAGGCTCCCTCCTCTCCAGTGACTCTAGTTTGTGTCAAGTTGACATAAAGTGAGCCAGCACAACTAACCCCTTGTTAACTTGACACACAAACCCTACTGTTAAGCCACAAGCTTTACTTCCTTCCATTTTGTTTGGTTTTGGGTTTTGTTGTTGTTGTGTTTTTTTTTTTGTTTGTTTGTTTTTTGGAGCCTGTCCTGGAACTAGATCTTGTAGACCAGGCTGGTCTTGAACTCACGGAGATTCGCCAGCCTCTGCCTCCCAAGTGCTGGGATTAAATGTGTACACCACCACCACCGCCTGGCTGGTTGTTTAGTTTTTTGAGCAGGGTTTCTCTGTGTAGCTTTGGAGCCTGTCCTGGAACTCGCTATGTAGACCAGGCTGTCCTCGAACTCAACAGAGATCAGCCTGCCTCTGCCTCCAAGTGCTGGGATTAAAGACGTGTGCCACCACCATCTGGCAACCTTCCCTTTCTTACTCATTCCCAAGACCTCACATTAATAGTAATATCACAATATAAAAACTCCAAATTAGGCTTTTAATCCCAGCATTCAGGAGGCAGAGGTAAATCTTTTGAGTTGGAGGCCAGCCTGGTCTACAGACTGAGTTTTAGAACAGCCAGGGATACACAGAGAAACCCTGTCTCAAAAAGCCAAAAAGAAGAAAAATGTTTAAAGTTTTTGCTCTTGCTCCACAGGGAAGAACGGTACAGTCACAATTCAATCAAAATCAAACTCCCAACTGTGCAAACAAAACGATGTCCAGCATCTGAGATCCATCCACGATCTTTTGGGGTCCTGTAACAGGCTTGGGTCATGTCGCCAGCTCAGCCCTCTGCAGCACACACAGCTCAGCTCATTTCTGCCAGGCTTCACTCCACTGCTGCAGCTGCTCTGGGGGTCACCCCGTGGAACAAGCATCTCCAAAACTCTGGGTCTTCTGCAATGGGACACATTTTCACCAATGGTCTCTTGGGCACTCTTCATGGTACAAAGCCTCAACTTCCCCATGGCCCCTTCAACCCTGCTACTCTGGCTACATCTTCACTGTGAGAGCCCCTTGTGGCCTCTCACAGGGCCAAGCCTTACCCACTTTCCACAACCACTTCATGCCTGCCTTTAAAAGGTGCAGATTGAGAGAGAGCAATTACATATTCTTAGTGATTTTCAAAAATTACTGGGTTATACTAATAGGCTAGGTCCTACCATTGGATTGTCTACTCAAGAATTGAATTTGTTTCAGATTTTACAAGGTAAGTCAGATTTAAGCAACCCAAGACATTTAACAGCTGATGTTAAAAGGAAATTAGCCCAAGTAGAACAAAAATTACAAAATGCCCATGTGGATATATTGGGTCTCACAACTAAATATGTTTTAATAATTTTACCTTCTAATCATTTCCCTACAGAGGTAAGATAATATTTCGGAATGGATTTTCCTAGCTCACAAGCAATAAAAATTAAAGACCTAAAACACAAAACCAAAAACAAAAAACCAAGCTGGGCGGTGGTGGCGCACACTTTTGATCCCAGCACTCGGGAGGCAGAGGCAGGAGGATGTCTGTGAGTTCAAGGCCAGCCTGGTCTACAGAGTGAGTTCTAGGACAGGCCCCAAAGCCACAGAGAAACCCTGTCTCAAAAAACCAAA